TGCGAACGCAAAATCGCTTGCAAAGGTCAGTGGGTTCAAAAAGTTGAGCTCGCTGAACTCATGGCCAAGACAGGAAACTTAACGGACAGGTACAAAACGCAAAATTTTGCGGGTTACCTGGACTTCAAATCAAAGCGTAAGATTAGGGAGTCTATACAAAATAAGAAAATAGCCAACGTTCTGAATAGGAGGAACGAGTGTAGAAAACGGGTAGGAACTATTTGGGACGGCTTGATAGCCTTAAGGAGAGGGAACGAGAGGGAGTGCAGAAATGGCCAGTGATGGAGAGCAGGAGGCTGGATTAGCTTTAAGTCTAGCTAGGACTACACACTTTTTACGACATGAATAGTATCTACACACAATAGATAATAACATTGGCCCAAACATGAATCAACATTAAAAGATCGCACACTAGTTTAATTGTGTAAGGAAACAGCTGAAATCGAACTTCTTTACGGTTTGGAAGTAACTTCACACATTTGCAAGCATTTTGAATAAGGTTGAAGTAACCTACCAAATCATGTGATGCTTCATTAATTTCGCGAAGTTAGGTGTATAAAAAAGCGACTAGGTTTGCATCTAACCACCTTTTCTCTTGGTTTAATATATTTTTACTCTATTTCGTAAAATATGGATACCTGCTCTGATGATGTCTGTCACAATACAGACGAAAGTGTAGCACAGTTTCAGCAAGGTTGCAGGACGGTGAGCCAAGGACTTCTTGGCACAATTCAACAGTCTTCCTTACGCGGCAATCCTCCTTCGGTTTCCGGGAAGATCAAATAACGAATTCCTTCCAACCAACTTTCCCTCCGAAATGGAGAGTCACATCACAATATATCACTAAGGGATCCTTCGAAACCCAGTTTTGCCTCATATCTTCGTCACTAAATAGAATAGGGTGAACACAATACACACGAGTAGAAGCGAAAGCCTACTCAAAAAACGAAAAAACCAGTAAATCGGTCATTTTTGTTTGCCTAACGTGATTTAAGGAAGGTCAGCTGTTTTTTTCCATGTTTATAAAAGTCACATTTTTGAGTGGTATTTTTAAAGAAGCAGAAATTTATTTGTCATTACAATCGTTTCATATTTCGCTTGCCAAGATGCTGTCATTATACTCCCCACAATTTTCGTTACGACTAGGTTTTGGGACTATCAGTAATTACAGAATTAAAAATTAGTCAGCATCGGAAGCTTAACGTGATTTATGGACTTATTGTTAAGTTTCCCCAAAATGAAATATGTAGTGATCATGTTACCAGCTAATTTCACTTAATTAGTCTCTCAAGAGGCTAAATCATCTCAGGTGGTTTGACTAAATTTTAATTTTAAAATATCTAGAGGTCGTTTGACCTTGTTTTTGCAACATGGTCATATTGGTAGGAAGACTTATTGGAACGCACCTAGTCCGGGCTCCATTGTC